TAATACTCAAGCTATCTTCTTGACTCTAAGATATATTTTAAAAAAAAAATCTACTTTCTATTTTTGGGCAAGTAAATTGCCAATCCACTCGGATAACAAACTTTCAAAGCCCAATATTCATTCAACTAGGACAAATCAAATGGCCCCGATCGTTGAAATCAAATGGCTATATATGATTTCCAACTACTACCGGTAAACTTGGGACCCAAACTTGAGGCTGAGCTTTGTTTGACTTCTATCACGCCATGATATATATATATATACACACACACAGACACAAAGGACCAACTTGCAGTGGTGGGCTTTGGTGTTCCTGGACCTACACTCATATCACCAGCTAGCCTAAATGTGTGGATCCTGTTGTAGTGGTCTAACACCCCCTTTTGTTTTCAAGTCCATATCATATTCTCTCACTGTTTGATACGTAATTCCAAAATATTTCTGATAATGAGGGGTTAGACTAGTCTCAACTTCTATGAACACATCATCTACGTTAAGAAATTTTATATTCTTCATGTGGACTTCACCGGGGCTACTCACATCATCTTTCTGGGCCCCACCATAATTGGTGGACCTAAAGTAAATGAATAGAAAAAACCCTAAAAGCTACTGTACTGCATGAATCATGTGGGCCACACTTGTTGTGCAAGTTGAAGTTTGAGCAAATGCCCAAGTCATTGCCACCTAATAAAGTGGACCAAACATGGTTCACTCAATGAATGACTCAGGCTTCTAGCATGATTGAGCTATTAACTTGCTTTTAATTATCGAAAAAATTATATTATTATTAATTTGTTTTAGATAATAACATGATAATTAATTTTTTGATCAATTATAAAGTTGAAGAATTGGTGCAAATTCATGGGCCAGTTTGGGCTTGGCCAGTTTCGAGTCATTAGGCCCATGAGGGCACACCAGCCGGCCTAGGGTTTTAGTCTTGTAGCCCTATGTTCGGTAGGTGACAAATCATATGGGCCTGTAATCTTTTGAAGTGGATTCCTTGTTGGCCTTGCATTCAGCTCGTTCAGATTAGCATTGAGTGTCAAGGTTTACAATAAAAAAAATGGATTATTATTTTGGTGATTTACATATATATATATATATATATATATATATATAAAAGTATTCATCAACTGTATACTGTTCTTTCATAATCATAAATATGCCTTTTAGAAACCTTACAAGTAGGCCCCGAAACACCTCAATCTCTGGCCCTCTCCTTGTCTAAAAAGAACACCACCAAGGAAAAGGAAAGTGGAGGAGAAGCCCCATTTTCTCTGTTTTTTTTTTTAAAATGAAGTCTACCAAATTAAATTGAAGGAAAAATCTTCTTGATGATGGGAAAACAGTTGAAAGAAAAAGACAGAGCTCCCGGCCCATTTAATTTTAAAGAGTATATTCTCGAAAGAATCGTGACACGCATGCTAAAACAAACAATCAAAAATAGTCAAAATTTAACATGGACTTGCTCTGAGCTGCTTGATACAATCATGTGGGTTCAAGTTCGGTCCCACACGAGGTATATTCGATTGTTTGATTCACTTTGTGAATTACTCCGTATTTTTGTACTCAAAGTGAAATATGTCTCAGACCTGTAATTTTAATATTTATATCCTCAAACACCAAAAAAAAAAAAAAAAAAATCTTTCTTGCATTTGTTACACTGTGCAATGGGTGTTTCCAACCATCCACTACTGCGCGCCTATAATACACAAGGTCCATCTTGTTTGGAACCCAAAACTCCTTGCACAAAAAGGACATTTACCTTCCTATCAACCATGGAATTTTGGCTCCAAACCAGATTAAAAAGTTATGGAAACAAATAAACAGAACCGAAAAGGGTGGTGTTGGTGGAGGTAGGTCTATCATGGGATGTTCTAGATTAGGTTAAACTTGTACACTTCTTTCTTAGGAGTCATAATCCATAACCCTCATCCTCCCCACCAGCCAATCTGGACTCCTTAAATGGATATTGACTAAAGTGTAAAGCCACACCCAATTTCCAAGTTCTTTCTCGTGCATTAAGTGGTTTGTTCCAATATGGTTTTCATAATTTAATGTCACCATAGAAATAAAAACTAATTAAAAGGAAAATTCACAACAACCCATCTAATACTTATATACTTCTTTTGAATAGATTTCTTATAAGTAAATGATTATTTATGTATTTAAGAGAGATTGCTTTATTGTATTACTTTATATTAATTCTTAGTTGTCTCATGAGTTTAAAATTAAACGATCACATATATATGTAGAAATTTTTTAGTTGTTGGAACCAATACACCGTCTAAACTGAAACTGTTTTAATCCTTACTATATATGCCAAAGAAAGTATGCAGTCTATTGTTTAATTTTACAGCCGAATGAGAGGATTGAAGAATGTTTTCACATAAATTTATTTTAAACTGAGTTTTCGTATCTGATTCATCCGAATTCCAATCAAATTTATGTATTTGGACCATGAGCTTAATTTGCGTTAAATTGTTTACTTCGAATAATGTGGAAGCATATCAAGAGAATACCAAAATATTTCATCTTTCATTTTAACCATAGTTTGTTTGTATTTTTTTTTTTTTTTTTTTTTTGGGTCCATATATTAACCATAGTTGACTTGTCTGTTTATTTGACAATTTTTTTTTTTCATTATTTTGTTCAAATGTCAACTTCAATTAAACTCACATCTTAAAACATTTTTCTTTCTTTTGAAAATGAATATGAGTAATTTCTAATGATTTCCCATCACTCAACTAAAAATATCTTAAATAACCTTCAGAATAAGCAAAGCCCAGATTCATGAGTGGTCATAGCTGTGTTTAAAGAACTTTAAAGGAACTCTTTCTGATTGATGATGATAACCTTTCTTAAAAAATGGTCCTAAAATACTTGTGGCAACAAATAACACTTAGTGTGGTTGAAACACCAATGTAACGCTTATTTAATGACTTAAAATTAAAATTATTAAATAATACTGCATATACACTCGTATATATACTCAATATTCTTATCATTCAGATCCAATGCGGGACAAGAATGCACCTCTAACAAAAAGCCTATAAGAAATTCATTTTCTTGCTTTCATGCAAAAATAGGAGAAGGACTCGTGAGTAATGCATAAATGAGTAACTCGAGACTCCGTTAAGACAAATTTGAAATTATTTTCTAGTTAAAATTCTATCTTGAAAACAATCATACCCTAACATTTTTTAATTAATTTTTTTATTGTTACTAGAAATGTATCCATATAATCTTAATAGTTAATATATATTATGTAATGATGTAATCACTCTCTTTTCTTCATCCTATCAAAACAGCCAACTGCTATTTATACAATTTAATGACATGCAACACAAACTTGCTTGAAAAAGATGGAAAAAGAAAAGGAAATCCAACCTAAAAACACATGTCCCAATTGATTTTTCCTACTTCTCCTTTTCATTTGTTCTAAAAATGCCCTTTTTGGAGTTGTAGTTATGGAGTACTAAAGTGCTTTCAATTTATTAGCTTTTGCAGGCAGTCTGTTTGCACAAATCAGTAATCTTTTGTTGCAGAGATTCCGGTGACTGGAATTTTTGTTAGAACTCATTTTAGTATTTTTCAAAATTGTTTATATACAATAAAGAATTCCGTTCATATAAAATAAAGATAAAAATAACGGCGATAATATATGCAGGAGTATAAATAATAAAATAATTCTCATAAAAATTATATTCAAGATCTCTCAGGTAAGATTTAAATTTTTAATTTTAAATTCAAAACACCCCTCCAATATTTCCAAACATAATAATTATATTTTTAATCCTATAATTGAAAACTTAACCACCCACCGTTAATGGGAACAGGGACATAGCTTTCGACGTGTTCCTTAATAGCTGAGAGTTGAGACCACAAAAAAAAAACTTTTTGACATTGTGGCATGAAAACAATAATAGTGACTGGTCTGTCACTATAGCTAAATTGATGACCTGTCATACAATGTATGGTGTATTATACGGTGTATGTATCAGTGTTTTTAATAGTAATAATTTAATAAATTATCCAAAAAAGAGTATTCTTATTATTTATCCATTTCCTGGTCAATTACCTCAGCCTCAAATTAGGTGTTTTACCGGGTATTCATCCATATTTCATGAAAATCTTACGAACATGAATACAAGAGAAAAAGCCAAAAAAAACTAGCTTTAGGCACATTACTGGCGCGTCTCTTACACGCTCCAATTCTCCAGGAACAATTCTTAATCTGTGTGCCTTTTATTTATTTATTTATTTATTTTATTATTTTTATTTTTTTTCACAAATTAAGTGAGCTGCTCCAAATTTTCTAATTTGGGATCAAACATGAAATACCTAAATCACTTTTAAAACACACAATTTAAATTTAAAGAGTATCCTATACTCATTCTCATTTATATTTAAAAATTATTGAACAAGCTAAACTTTAGAGTGTTCCAAAGTTCCATTAGAAGTTGAATGATTAAATCATTAATTCTTAATTAATTGTGATAGGACATGACTTGGTGTTTCAAAGTTGGATTAAAATTAAATGATTAAATCACTAATTCTTGATTAATTGTGATAGGACATGACTTAAAAACATATTTTTAAATTATGTAACAAATTAATAGGCATTATTAATTTAAATAATATAATCTCTTCTCTAAGAGAATATTGAATGTTCAAATTATTATATTAGAGACAAATATTGATATAATAGGCAATAAAATAAATTAAAGATTCTAACACTAAATCTTATTGAATTTTAGTTAATTATTTATCGAGGAAAAAACCTTCTCCAACAATTTATAATAATACTTTACTTAAATAGTTAATCTGATACAACAATGAAACTATATTATGGCCCTCTCCCCACATTATGAGGGAAATTATTCCATCATGTGAAGGAAGTGTCCCCAATATATATATATATATATATTCGAAAGAAGGTTGTCTAATGTAGGCACGCACGCACTCTATAGGCGCGTGAGAAGTGTTTCCCTTTGAAACATGAAACAATGTTTGCCACAGAGATTTGAGGCCGGACAGATAAAAAAAAAAAACTATTTCTTTTGAAGAAGAATAGTCCGTCTTCCGGGTCATCATCAATCTTATACCCAAGAAACCAGAGCTGTAATCGCATAAAGTTGCCATCTTTCACACAACTTCTCATCTATTTTTATATCTGTAAGTTCATGTATCAGCTCTCTCTCTGTTTCTTATTTGTGATAATGAGTTTGATTTCTAAATTATAGCGCCACTCATGTTATGCTACAGGGTTTTTGAGGTATTGATTCATAGAGGCCATTCAAAACCCATGTTATCTGATCTATGAATTGGTCTTTTTCTTTTGTGGGTTTTTTCAGTTTTTGAACAATACAGATGAAAAGCTAGGCTGTTCTTGAGGTATTGCTATCTGGGGTTTTTGAAAACTGTCATAAAAGTTAGACTTGTGGAACCCCAAATTTAGTGTTTGGAGGCTGAGATGGAGGTGATAATTTGTTGATATATGGTATAGAGAGAGAGAACAGAAGAAAAAAAGTTTGTGTGTTTAAATTATATGTTGGTGGGTGGGTTTTCTAAATGGGTTATGTGTCTCCTTTGTGTGTTGTGATTTTTAAAATTGTCTATTATGAGATTATGTAGAAATTTCTGGAGAAGGATCTGGTGCTGGAGTTTACTTTTAGATTTGGGGATTCTTGTGTTTGCACAAAAACTTTGAAAGTATTAATCATGCAGAAATTTTAGAATAGATACCTTGCTTTGCATTAGGATCTGTGTGTTTCTTTGTGTTGGGGTTTCTAAATTTAGGCCCTTCTGGTGACATATCATTTTAAGAAAACCACATATTGGAACAAGGGTTTCTCTGTGTTTTTGAGGTTCTGTATATTGCCATTAATAGAGAAAGATGCAACGGATACGAGTTTCGTCCCATCAGTTGCCAGTGCACAAGTTAGGGGATTCCCAAATGACATTATCCCCAAAGTTTAGGTTTTCTTCCATCAAAACATCTTTGTCAGATCCTTCTTTAGAGTTGGAATTGTCTCTGAGGGGGGAGCCCCTCATTCCTGGCCTACCCGATGATATTGCTCTCAATTGTCTTCTCCGAATTCCGGTTGAGAGCCATGCAGCATCTAGGGCTGTTTGCAGGCGTTGGTATCTATTGCTTGGCAATAAGGAGCGTTTTTTCACCCGGAGGAAGGAACTTGGGTTTCATGCCCCCTGGCTTCATGTCTTTGCCTTCCACAAATGCACCGGAAAAATTCAATGGCAGGTTCTTGACCTGATCCATTTCTCTTGGCACACTATACCTGCAATGCCTTGCAAAGAGAGGGCTTGCCCCCATGGATTTAGGTGTGTTTCCATCGCCCATGAGGGGACTCTCTTTGTTTGTGGTGGTGTAGTCTCCGATGTGGATTGTCCCCTCAACGTGGTATTGAAATATGAAATGTGGAGGAACCGTTGGACTGCGATGAAAAACATGATCACTGCACGGTCTTTTTTTGCAAGCGGGGTGATTGATGGGATGATTTATGTGGCTGGAGGAAACAGCACAGACCTCTTTGAGCTAAACTCAGCTGAAGTCCTGGATCCTGGTAAGGGGATTTGGCAGCCGGTTGCAAGCATGGGAACAAACATGGCCTCATATGATGCAGCCGTTCTCGATGGGAAACTTTTTGTTACTGAAGGCTGGTTTTGGCCCTTTTATGTCGTACCTAGAGGTCAGATTTATGACCCTAGAACTGATAATTGGGAGACCATGGCTGCTGGGCTGAGAGAAGGCTGGACTGGGTCAAGCGTTGTGGTTTATGGGCAATTATTTGTGGTTACAGAGCATGAAAGAACGAAACTTAAGGTTTATGACACACATAGTGATTCGTGGGACACTGTGGAAGGACCTCCTTTACCAGAGCAGATATGCAAGCCTTTCTCCGTCAATTGCTGTGACTGCAGGATCTATGTTGTAGGTCGAAACCTTCATGTTGCTGTGGGCCATATTGTGAGGCTGAATCCAGAAAATACTCCTGATAAAAAGTGGAAGTTTTCTGTTCAGTGGCAAGTGGTTGATGCACCAGAAGACTTCTCTGACTTGACGCCCTCAAGCGCACAGGTTTTGTTCGCTTGACTTCTCTTGTGATGTTGTGTTTAGCTTGTTGTTACTTATATTGTAATTATATGAGAGTGTGAAAGTTGTATATTGATGATATTTGCAAAAAGGCTCTTATAGTGATTCTATTAGATGTATCAATTTACAAGGTTCTTTAATGTTAGATCCTTTTTTCCTCTCACTTTGTTATGCATGATGTGTTTCGGTACCTTAATTAACACTGCTGGTATTGATACCTTGTCGGATGATATTTCTTGTTTGCAAAACAGTATGGTAGTATTAATTTGATTTTTAAACCAGAAGTAATCTAATATTGGATCAGAGTTCCTTAACAAACTCATTATTGGCAAAAGTTCAGATCATGTTTCCATGTGTGGCTAATAATAAAAAGGTTCAGGATCGATATACAATGACGGTCTAGCTGAACTGAAAAACAATGCTATTGGATTATGTGAATGTTCTTATTGGTTTTTGAAATTTATCTTGTGACGAATTGAATGCTGATCAATTTGGGGGAAGAGAAAATAAATAAAAAAAAGGTAAAAAAAAACAAATAATCTTCCTGATTTAGTTGAGGCTTTTGATAATAAATACATATGCAGTTGCAGAGCGCATTTAGTTGAGGCTTTTGATACGGTGTTCTTGCAACCTGTGTTCTTAAATCTTTGGAAACTCTATACACATTTTTCCCTACATTTTGGAAACTTCATTTCCAACCGTTGATAGCAAATTCCATTTATTTCGATCTTGAAATGTACTTATTCTTTATCATATTGTCCATCAGGTTCATGCATTCTCAGTGTTTGCAATACTGGCCGGTTTTGGTACCCTTCTACTCAATTTAACGAAGCACCTTACATATTTTCCTTTATATGTAGGAAACTTCATTTTCAACCTTTGATAGCATATATCGTTTAGTTTTATCTTGAAATAAATCCTTTATCATACTATCCATCAGGCTGCTGCATTCTTACCGTGTTTGCAATACTAGCCAGTTTTGGTATTCTTCTATCCAATTCAACGCAGCACTATACCTTTTCCCTCTATGTAGGAAACTTCATTTCCAACCTTTGATATGAAATTTCATTTAGCTCTATCTTGAAATACGCTCTTTATCATACTATCCATCAGGCTGCAGCAGTCTTACAGTGTGTGCAATGGTAGCCGGTTTGGTATATATGAAGTAATGATATAGAAGAATTCAATCTGCCCCTTGTAGATGTTTGATAATTTTGGTGTTCTTAGGACAAGTGAAGATCTGTGGAATGAACAGATCAAAGATAATTATAATGCAGATGAAAATAAGCCCTGTTGACAGCACGAGGGATGATTTGTACAAACTCATCTGCGCTCAAGTCGCCATCTTTATACAAATTCATCCAGCTCAACTGTCATTTGCTTCTTTCCGGGGAAACAAAAATTTGCTTTAGTGTTGCTTTTAGTTAATTTCTTGACAGGAAAGAAGAACCAGCTGCAGTTTTTTGTGCAAAGCTAAATAGGTCCTGGCTCTGATCTACGTCGCGAAGAACTGTAATTATTTATCATCTTGATTGTGGTATTAGGAAATATAATTCTTTATTTATTACCTTGATTGTTTTTCTTTAGTGCTTGGACTGACTGCAGAAGAAATGAAGGAAAAATAGAGGAATTGAGACTTTTTAAAGGTAGAATTCTCATTGTTATGAGGAAATGATGGAAAAATAAGAGAACTGAGAGTTTTGAATGGGATTTTTCATTATTGTGAGTAGGTGCCAGATCTATGTATAGAAATCTCAGGCTCTTGTACATTATAAAAGCAAAATAGACAGTTCAAATCTCAAAATGGTAAATAGGTTTGGTTTCTAATGCACTCAACTATGTGGTGGATTCTTAATTACCATTATGGTCAATAACCTTGTTATTCATTGAATAAGTAGATGTGCCTATTATGTCCAGGAGTCAAAAATAATAAATAATAATAAATAAAAAAACAACTCTTGGGCCTGATTAGCAGCTGTTTTTTTTTTTTTGTCTTTTCTTTTCTTTTTCTTTTTTTTTCTTTTCAAATTGGTGAAAAACATAAACAAGTGTCAGAAGTACATTTAGTAATATTTGTTATGTTTCAATTTTGCATGATACCACATCTGCTTTAGAACCAAAAAAAAAAAAAAAACCAATGTATTGTATATATCATAAATTTTTACAATCTTCCAATCAATTTTTTAACATTGTTCAAATATGTTTTCGTTTCCAAATAGATTACAATATAACATAAGTACTTCTTCTATTTTTTATGAAATAATAATAATAAGTAGAAGTGATTGGCAGACGGGTCCTTAATGTACAAATCTGTCATTCTATTTTTCAACTTAATTAAAACTAATTTTGCTAAGGTTAAATTAAGATTAGTTAGACTCTGAGAGTTGACTGAGATAAATTTAAAATTACCAATATTTTAGTAGTATAATTAGTATAAGTTCGACTTCTGCATACAAGTCCAACTCAAATTGAAGCTAAGAAATTTGAGGACCTTGCTAAGAAGGAAAATATCTAATTAAATTAGTTGTTTAAAGAATTTTTCAAAGCTGTAAAAGAGGAAGTGTGAGGAGCCCATGGAGTAAAAAGAAAAATTATGAGATGTGTTGTTCCTACTATACAAACTTAGTTCTTGAATTTTGTAGGTTGAATAGATTCAAAGACTGAGCCCCTTTGAATATGAATTCATAGGTTGAGACGGTGTCGAGACTGTACAAACTCGAATTTTGTAGATTCTACGTAGGCCATATAGATCTGGATGCAAATGTTGACATTGTGCAATAGCAAACATCAGAAAAAAATAAATAAAAATGAAAAAAAAAAAAAAATTCACATGACAAGACTGTTAAGAACGGATGCAAATTAAATCACATAATACTTTTCAATAGGTATTGTGTTTCTGTTCTTACATTTCGTCTCTCACTCTCATTCCTACTATATGCAATTTAAATTTTATCGTTTTCGAATTCCCAACTCTCGCTCCCCCTCAGTTGTGTGTAAGCTACGGTGCATGATTCAAATACGGACCCCGCAAACACAATAAACCACCCAACTAGGCCTGTCAACGGATCGGATCGATCAAATCCATATCCGATTTGTTAAGCAAAAGAATTATCGGATTCGGATCACTAATGGGGTTCTTGGCCTGAATGTCCCAATCTATATCTTATTTAGCTCCAATTCAGATCGAATCGGATTCGAATTCGAATTCGAATTAAAATCATATTTACTAACATGTATAATTATAAAGTTAGAAGAAGCGGAGAATTGCTAATATACATAATGCTACATAATATAAGTATGCAATCAAATGAATATAATGATAAATAATTAATATATATAAATTTAGTAATATATAACTAATATATATAAAATTGATATATAGTATATTGTAAATTAGTTATTCTTTATTAATGAATAAAGGATATGTTATTATTAATATGTATATTATGAGATTTATTAGCACGTGGACGAGAACACCACATTATTGTATATATAATATTATGATTTTTTTTTTTTCTAGATTTTTCGGTTACCTCTAATACAATTTTAATAAGAGTATTGATATATATATATATATATGTGTGTGTGTGTAAAATTAATTCATATCTGATTTGTTAAATTAACGAATTATCGAATTCGAATCATTATTGAATTATTAAATTTTTTATTCAATCTATATGCAACTAATCGAATGGAATTCAAATTGAATCCGAATCAAAATTCGCTACATTGACAAGTCTACACCCAACTACTTGGACAATCCCAACAATACGACACTTAACTTATTCCAATTGCCAAGGACTAATTTTGATATTTCCACGGCTTGACATTAGGTCTCTCCCTTTCTCCATTCCCCAAGACGAGTGTGTTGTAGAGACTAGAGAGAGTGTGTTTTAGAAAGAAAAAGAGAGAGAGAAAAAAAATGGGGGCAGTGACGACTGCGGTGATTGCAATCGCGGGACTGGTTCTGGGATGGGTAGCCATAGAGATCGCTTGCAAACCGTGTCTCGAGAAGGGACGCGAAGCTATTGATCGCAGCCTCAACCCCGACTACGATCCAGACGACGACCACGACTCCATTCGTGCACCTCTCGATCCAAACCCTCCTCCTCCTTCCAACGATGATGATTCTGATTCAACTTCCAGTGTCGTCAAAACCGGCTGATCTTCATCGATCTCCGTCAAAATCATCATCTCTGTAGTTTCGGTACTTGCCCTAATCACACCGCATTTTCACCGTCTATTTCTCTCAATTTCAGTGTTTGTGATTTTCTTGTCTTTCCCGGAAATTGCAGAAAGTAAAAGAAAGAAACATCCTCTTTTTTGGTTTTTTATTATCTGTAAGATTGTTGTGGTGTGGGTGATCTGATCAGGTTGTGAGAAAAATATTAATGTTTAAACAATATAATTTTGTTCATTTTTCTCAAACCTTTTGGTAATGTGTATGTACTCTAGTCTCTCTCTCTCTTGTTTTGAAGGGGTTGTGAATTGTGGTGGCAAATTGGCAATATATGGTGAGAGGGTTAAGAAATTTTGCGATGACATACAAAATTACAAATAAAATAACTTTAATTTGAGAGGATATTCGAAAGTTGGATTAACTTGATTAGCATATTTATTCATTCAAATTGAAATTTTGGAACTGAAATTCCGTAGTTAACCAACTTAATCTGAGAACAATTTACCATATACTTTGAAGATTTGCTTTTGAGATATTGAGTTATTGTGTCATTCAAGTGAACTTATTCTATGCAAAAATAAATATTTTATTTTAGTTGTATGCTTCTATGCAAAAATAAATATTTTATTTCAGTTTCAGTGGTATGGCAAAAATAAATATCTACCCCAAATTGAAATTTTGGAACTGAAATTCCGTAGTTAACCAACTTAATCTGATAACAATTTACCATATACTTTGAAGTATTTGCTTTTGAGATATTGAGTTATTGTGTCATTCAAGTGAACTTATTCTATGCAAAAATAAATATTTTATTTTAGTTGTATGCTTCTATGCAAAAATAAATATTTTATTTCAGTTTCAGTGGTATGGTATTTTTATCGATATAAAATGACGACATAATGTAAACAATTCATCTACCCCAAATTGAACCACATTAAGGAGTGTTAGACAACACAATGACCATTGACCAAACTTGCACATGGTGCATTTATGTACTCAAGAACAATATAGAGCAATATAGAGTTGCGTTTTAAGAATTGTGTGGAATCTTTTCAACTAGTATGAAATGTCCTTAAGAATTTTTCGGACTCTTACATGGTCTTTTTAAGCCTATAAATTCTTACATGGTCTTTTTAAGCCTATAAATAGGTAGAGATTGTTAATTGAAACCAATCTCAGAAGGTTTAGTTTGGCTAACATTACCAAGAAGTGAAATAAGAGTGCAAATATTCCTAAAGTTTGACTAACATTACCAAGAAGTGAAAGTAAGTTTATATTCTCCATCTAGAGTACATGGCGGGAACGCATTTTTTATATCAATTAAGAACAAAAAAAATTCGTATCATAACAACTCATGAACTGTTATAAAGACAACAGCGTATTTTACTTAAATAATAAGTGGGATGGGACAAGTTAATTATTCTTGACATGCGTTTTTTTTTGTCTTGCTGTGGTATTTATATCTGCTCCTATTCTCTCTTATAAGGACATTTTACTACGGAACAAAAATACATGGACTACAAAAATTTGACCAGAACTCTTATTCATCTTGATGGCTCAATACATAGAATGATTTTAATACGGAATAAAATTAGTTGTTACCCTTGTTATAATTTTATTTAAAGTGGCTAAACTCAAATTAGAACCATATTTCATAGAATGATTTTTTGCTTTGCACTAAATGGTGAAACCAAATATATGAATGCCCAGGGAAGAGTGGGGAATGGCATAGGATTCCTTTTTAAGAGGCAATGGAGCCTGTTGAGTTAGCTTTTGATTGATTCACATACATGGAAATTGTTCATATTTATTTTGGATCAACAAGTGAAGGAAATATCTCAACATTTTTTTGTTGACTTCCTTATTTCTGAGAAAAATAAAGTTTGCTTGTCCCATGGGACAATGCTTGAACAAGATGTTTCTGCTAGTTATTCTCTAAGCTACATGCAGATTATTACTGCATAGCAATGGGAAGCATGTAAAATTTTAAAACCATAGATGAAATCTAAAAGTATGTGGCAAATTCAGGAATTGTCAATGGGTTTTAACATTTCAGAAGCTTTGTGAACGCTCAAAATTGACAAAGTTAAATTGACAAAGTTAAAATTGCAGTCTTCTTTTTTCTTTTTCACAGATATAATTAGGGTTTAGAGAGATGAAAAAGAAGAGAGCCCAAGTAGATGAATCATATTACACACCATTGTTCATATTAGAAGCTGATAAATTAAAATTGCATAGAGCACCTTTGTTTCAGAAATTAAGGGACTGAAAAATCATGTGTGAAGTAACCAAAGATTCTTGGAACTAAAAGAATTAGACACTATGCTCAACATATATAACATAAGTAATTAACATCTAAGTTTACTAAATTTGAGTGCATCAATATAAATTATCAGTCCTCGTTACCACTAGAGCCAGCATCAACATCCTCATCTTCATCGGCATCAGAATCAACATCCAGACGAAGAACTCTAACAGTATCCTCCTCAAACTCAGATTCACAATCTAGAAGACAAGTTTTTGTCTCTAGAACTATATCAAAACATTTATCGTGGTAAAAATGTCTGCAGTTTAGCAGATGTGCCGTAATAATTGCCATCACTGATTCACCGCAGTAGAGGTATTCTGGGGCAGCCGTACCAAGTATGGCAAATTGGAGATCTGCAATCTCAATAGGCTTGCTCGGAATCACCTGAAATGGTGACACCCCACGACTGCTTACAAATGCAGCATAATCCTCGAACTGTGGCTTTCCAATACTCTATCTTAATCAATACAACATTAGAAATATGTGGTCGCATTCGTGACAAATTACTTTTTCATTAGTGTTATAATGCCCCAGACAAAACACACACATCTCATCTTCATTATCCACTTAATTTCGGAGCTGATATGTGGTCAAACCATTCCACAAGAGATTTGTCTAATTCAATACAATTGACTTTTAGATGAATAAATAAATAAATAAATAAATTTCACGTGTAACAAGTTAGAAAGGGAATGTAAAATGGTGGTGAGTACCTATCCGAAATTACTAACTAACATTATCCACTCTAATTAAGTTTGGCTAAAATTACCAAGAAGTGAAATAAGAGCATCCCAGGGCATGTTAAAATACCATTTTGTGCAAAATATAAACTGCCACCTGTGTAAAAAAATTTCAAAAAAAATTATCTCCAGCAGTCTTTTAAAATACATTGCCACATCACCAATGTGTAAAAAGATTGTGTATTTTACATAACCGTTTTATACTGCAAAATCAACATATTTCCTTTCTCATCCCTCTTTCTCATTCCATTAAAAAATCAACCATATATTAAGTAAGTTTGTAAAAATTACGTAGGGTTCTGGCATGACACATGGTTAGTTATTATTGGAAAATATATTTTTACACAAAAGGTATAAAACAACCGTTGGAGCTCAAATTAAATAATTCAAATTTCTTGTGTAAATTTCATGACACATCAAATTTACACAAAAAAAAAAATAGACACAACCGTTGAAGATACGGGTGACAATCTGAACGTATTACTTTGGGCCGGAACATGGGGACTAACTGTATGAACCAATTTTTGTTAATTTGCACTTTGTATGATGGTACACGTGAGGGTATTTTTTTTTTTTTTTTTTTTTTTTTTTTTGAAGGGTGCGAACTCTTTTCAACTAGTATTAAATGCTCTAGAGTTTGACTCACATTGATTTTTTAACAAATATTTTTAGATTTTCTTATATTTTGATTTTTTAACAAATATTTTTAGATTCTTATATTTCAATGTTAGTTTATGACCAAATCAAATCATTTGAGGCTAAGAAAAATCCATTATGATAAATCATAGGTAACTTGTGGTCATAGACTAAGACAATAAAAGTGTGAAGTCACAATTGTATTATGCTTTTGATTTCAAAATTTATTGAAAAACACATATTTATGATCCAGCACTTGACAAATTAAAATTTTAAGCCAAATTTCTGAAGCAATAACACTCTACGCAAAAAAACAAGTTTTATCAATCGTTGGACCTCTTCATGTACTGGGATGTAATCAATAAGCTGCACTTGTTTTAACTAAGGGTCAGTTTGGTAAAATGAAAATGGAAGGAAAATAAAAGAATGGTAATAGAAGGAAATAAAAAAATGTGTTTGGCAGGAAGTATTGAAAATGAAAGGAAAATGAACTTGAAGGAAAGCTTGAATAGTAACTTTTGTTGTCCTCCCAAAAATGGGAGGCAATTGAAGGAAAGAAAAGGAAAAGCTAATTTTTTTAGCCTCCATTTGTTTCGTAAAATATCCTTTTTGGAAAATATATTTTTTTAGGTAAAATATTCTTTTATTTTTACTTTGTCGGTGTTTGACAAAGGCCTATGTCGAGGTTGAAGTCGAGTCCATTGAGCAGAACATATAAAATAATTTGTCCAAAATTGATGGATAAGTTATCTTTGTTACATTTTAATATTTTTTTTATCATAAATATTTTACAACAACCAAACACCAGAAAACAAAAAAATATTTTCTAAAAAATATTTTATGTCCAAACAAATGGAGCTTTAATGAAAAATTTAATTCCAAATTTACCCTTATTTTAATAAAAGACAAACTCTATGAAAAAGGGTATGGTTGTAAATTCATTAAAATAGTTTTTTTTTTTTTTCAAACATGTTATTATCAAGTCATTAAAATAGTTTCTTTTTCTTTTTTTCCAAACATGATTATTATCAAATTTTTGAAAAAAAAAAAAAACATGATTATTATCAAAGACGAAGCCCGAATGTAAGATAAGGAAAGCAAAAATAAATTTTGGGTGGCAATAATGCATTTTTAAAGAATTTTAGGGGACAAAAGTAATATTTTATGAATATTACTGAAAATGAACAAATTATAGAGAAATATTACTAAAAAACAAAATTCAGGGAAGCAATTGGCCCCATAACTTGTATGTAGCTCCGTGATTATTATCCTTTCCTTTTTTTCCTTTATTAATCAACCAAATACGATAAGCAATTAACACTATCCTTCCATTTCCATTTCCATTTCCATTTCCATTTCCTTTCTTAACTAATATTATCCTTTATTTTCTTTTCCACTGTAGCAAAGGTAGTATAACCAACGGTAAATTAGCCAAGTAAATATAACAAAGTTAAATTTATTTCATGTACTCTTTGTCCATTGCAAACCCAAAAGGGAAAAAGCAAAAACAAATATATGCTTTACAGTTACAGTATTGACCACAACAAAAGACTAAAAGATGGAAGTTACTGTACATAAACTGACACGGGAGGAAATGAGCATCCAACTTCTTGAAGAGGACTGCATTTTCCAATGCCATTTACAAGGTGGGAATCTGGTGTGGAAGATGGTTCACGCCAGGTAATTGTATATTTGAGGATTGTTCTTGTCTCGCTCCAAGTACTCCCGGTCAATGAGGCTTTCAATCCTCTTCTTCAAGTCAGCTGGCTTTATCGGAAACTTGAGCTGTGACAGCGAAAATCAGACATTTTTACTCTTTATATTCAAAGTTTACCTAGAAAGTGAAAGGTAAAGGCCCTCCTCACTACATCGCTCACAGGTAAAAAGGCGTTTCCGCTTCCACTTCCACTTTCACCAAGATCAAAGGTTGTGTGTGAATCGGTGGATAATGAAAACACCTTTCTTTAACTAATGCAGTGAAATAATGAACAGAGGAACCTGGAGGCTTATAAATAGATCTGAACTCTGAACAAGGCCAGCCGATTTTTTGAAAAATATAAGGAGGAGGATTTCTGTTACCTGCTGGAAGAGTTCAGTTATCAAGAGTGTGTGACTTAGCACTTTCCTCGTCTTCATTATCCGAACAATAGCAGCATCAACCTGCAATATATTTAGCAATTGTGCAAAGTTTATAATTTGGCTTGCAGCTTCAAACAAATGGTCTATGATAATGTTAGTTTGGGTTTTAAAGAAATATGGAGGGACATAGGATGAACGTAAACCTGATATTGACGATCCTGGAATACTCTTTCAGTGGTGCTAGTGTTCTCCTCCACTGTTTCCTTCATTTGGATTGCATTCACCTGTACCCCTCAAACCAATGTTAGCTTCAAGGTGTATCTGATTATCGAACTCAAATGTGACTCAGTTCCACCATAAGCTCACTCTATGTGTGACATTGAGTTGCTCAGAACAGGGAAAGTGAAAAACAGCTGGAAAATATTTTATCATTCTATGAATTTACTTTTGACACTGGTCAGAGTTCATTTGAACTAAAGGTCATTTGACTCCCAGTGTTCTAAGTTTACAACCAGATGTACCTTAATACGGTAGAGAGGAGCAGTGAATTGATCATTGAACAGGAATGAATCATCATCGTCAACTTCTCTCCCTTTGGGCAGCTGAGAAAACGAAAAAATAAATAAAAAACAAAACTGCTTTTAGGGGAAAAGCCCTACATTTTTTAATCAGTAAAATGAAATATAATAATCTCACTGTGCACCTTTTGGAGGACACGAACTTTTCCGCATGCAAGGGACTGCAAAGTCCTCCTCAGTTCCTTATCCTCGATGCTAGTAGAATCTTTAATATCTTGAAAGCTGAGCTTTTGGGCATCATTAAACAGCATCAAAACAACAGTCTGGAGCACATCAACCCAACCAAGATATTAGGACTCGTGCACTTCTTCACGGGGCATAACAAAAAAAAAAAAAAAAAACAGTAAAACTAATGAACAGAGCATGCACATTTGCCCAAATAAAACCAACCTGAAAGAGAGAAACGGCTAACTCCTTTTTACCCTTAGGAAATTCTGCTTTCAGCACACAGTGACCTAATGAATTTTGCCACATTAATCGCCTTCCACTGTACTTACTCAAGTAAAATTCCTTGAAAATGTCCTGTAGCACCAAGCAAAATAATCCGCATTAGGTAATTGTATGGTTCCAAGCACACAATGCAGCCATTCTTCAGCTTGTGCCAAACCTGATACACATTAAGTTCGTGGGGAAGCCGAACATCCATGGGTGGATATGTTGGCCAGTACCTGCAACCCAACCAGCCTCATAAAAAGTTAAAACCCTTCCAAAAACTCAGTGATAAGACATATAATCACGTAATCTTGAAGAACAGAACAAAATTATAAAGGTTCTTAAACCTACCCTGTTGTTAAGACATGGACACTCATCTCAATTCCTGATGGGAGTTTTGTCCTTGCTTGGGATGATTGCTTAAAAGACTCATTGATTTCTTTTGATAATTCAATGTCCTGTACAAGTATTATAAAATATTAAGACAAAATAATGTAATGTCATTACATAAACTTACTTGAACTCCTACAAATAGTCATGAATCCATGATATAGTTAAAAAAAATTAAAAAATAAAAAATAAAAAAAGAAGAAGAAGAAGAAGTTAACTAAAATGCCTAATAAATACAGGAATTCAAGAGTGAACAGCCCTTCATTCAAGGCAGTACTTTGTCTCCCAATTAACAAGTTAACAGTAGACATCAAATGAGGACAGATACACCAAGTATGAGGGCCATTCTATTGCTCATAAGTACAGTGTAGCACCATTTTAGATGGATTTGTCCTTCATGACACACGGACAAAAAATGTCATTTCAAACATGAAACAGATAAAAACTTGCCTCCGTTTTATACTATGAAGCCAGTTTTGGTCAATTAAGATAATGAGTCTATATATCTATCCTTAATTTCTATAGTATATTTTAATAATACAATAACTACTCCCATTGTCTTAAAATGTTTGCATACTTTATAGAAAGTGCAAAATGTTAACAACCATAAACTCTAAAAGCTTAAGTTGATAGAGAGGGTGTCACATTAATATTTATATACTCTAACACGCCCCCTCACGTGCGGCCTTCTTTGGTTCAACACATGTTTTTCAATTTTTAATTAGGGTGACGGTGAGATTTGAACTTGAGACCTTTGGATCTGATACCATGTTAAAAACCATCTACTCTAAAAGCTTAAGCTAATAGAGAGGGTGTCACATTAATATTTATATCCTATAACACAAACTAACACAAAAATGTACCCATTATGGAACAACAAAGCTAAACTAGGACCAAAGGTTCGACACCTTATTCTAACACCAATATGTCTTCGAGTAACTACGTGGTTATCAAGCCTATTACTCCTGATACCATGAAGAAGATAAGGGCCAACCAAAAGTGCCAAGAGGGCAGCTTCATCAGTTATATATTACGTAGTCATATTATATATATTTATTGGATGGGCAGTGGGATAGAGGGGCTACAACCAGGTAGAAGCCTCCCATGCCTGGGACTATATTTGTGCTTATAGGAAAATAATAATAATAATAATAATAATAATAAAAATAACACTATAAGTACTCCGCTCGGGACTAAAAACAAGTGCCTGGGACTTTAGTTGTGTTTATTGTAAATACAACTACTACAAGGCCGGCTGGGACCATAGTTGTGTTTATACTAAAAACAACTATTACAAGTCAACCTGGGACTGAGGTGCTTGGGACTATAGTTGTGCAAGTGGAACACTTCAACAATTTATGGTAACAATATGCCTATTCAGCAAGGGTTACAAGTTGTAAATGTACTGAGATAAACAAGTGAAAGAGCACTAAAGCCAATGAAGACCATTCAATTTGTGCAAGGAACTTGTATGGGCATAGACAAAGAAGGGAGTAATTTATCCAAGTCAGTTCCAGAATGGACAGTGAGTAATTGTTGTGACATTCCATCTGACCCAAATCCAACCCAAATTCGAATACTGTATCTCACACATATTTCCAGACCAGATCTATTTTTACATTAGACAACCTGCAAAGTTACACAATACTATATGCAGTTAATAGATATCTTTATCCAATATATGATATGATTACATATTACCCTAAATTCAGTCCCACAAGCGTCAATTCAAACTATGTGGGGGTTGGCCTTATAGATCAGTTTTCTCCAATCAGCTCTTGTAAAGCCAGAAGCCTCAGCCAGGACAGGTTAGTCATGTCCTGGGATTAAGATGGCTAAACACCTTTGACTGCGCCAGAATAGGATACCCAGAAGCCTCAGCTAGGACAGGATAGTCACATCCTATCTTATATCCAACTGAAATTCTTGTTAATGTTCCAATTATCATCTGGCATCTTCAACTAATCAAATCATTGGCTCCATAGAGGAGCATTAATTGGTTTACTTTGCAGATGTCTAAACCATCTTGGGCAACTACTGTACATCTTATCCTCGGTGCAAATCTACATAGCCTGGTAGGGGGGGAAAATTGCCATCATTATGATTATTTATTTTTGACGAGTCAAATTACCACACTTATTAATTTCAAATTTTAATAAAGTCTCGTTGCTTTAAAGTAATGTGGAAAACATCAAATATGGGAGAAGAAGTTGTCATCTAAGTGAAACCAACCTTATGAGTTTTATAATGCATTAGCAGTTAGCAGCAACCCAGAACACCAAGATCCCACAATTTGTGATCAAAACTTGTAAGACATGGATATCAATCAGCATTCCAGAACAGAAGATGCATTTTATGAACAAAATACACACCTTGAACATTCCTTCAAGTTTGTTGGTAAATTGGCTTCCACACTCGGTCTTCAACTGTATAGCAATGGGAACTTCTAAGTATGATCAATAGATGAATTTTTTTTTTTTTTTTTTCTATAATAATACATGTAAAAATAAAACATCTATCACCTTAGAGATCATGGACTTCTCTGCATCAATGGAAGCACTCTTCCCCAACAGTAGCCTTTTTGCAAGATCCTTCTTATAGAATGCTTCAAATACATCCTTGCCCTAAATTAACAGGAGATAAAATGAGAAATGTCTCTCATTATATTACAATGACAAATAACAGCAGATAAATAACCGGCAAACCAAATTCAACAGGAGCAGAAATAATAATGCTGATATAGTACTAAAAGAATTAAATAAGAGTCAATTTCACAACTCCACTTTCATTGTTTTGTTAAAAACATCCACATTACCTGTATAAACCTGAATAAAACCAAGACTTTATCAAGTGTACCCTCCAATTCTTCTTCTGATGTACCCTTATTCCCAGCACGAAGTTTTTCATCCAGAAACTTTGCAATCAGTTCAGCAGGTCGATTCTATTACAAAGCACAATGATAATACTATTTAGTTTTGAGAACTGAAGGAATAATATTGAACGCTAGAAACAAATGGCACATTGATACGCCAATAAGTAATGCACTCAGAAAGTTTGCTGGCACCCATGCTGGATGTACACTCCAACAAAAAGACTGGTAGAAATTATTTCAAATATTATAAATTATCTATCAAATAAAACACCGCTAGTGATTGTGTAAACATAATATCAATGTACACTAATAAAAATTAAGCAGAATATAGGGCTATAGCTTTCATAGCACATCACCTTATAGTTTGTGAGCGTATAGATAATAGAAGCAAAAGTTGGTTTTGACATGCAAGGAACCCAGAAACTCGTATAGTGGAAGCATATGAATATACATGTGTGTATGACACAAATGCTCTAGATAAACAAAAAAACCAAATCTAATTCCCACTTGGGGTTATTGCTCCTGGTTTTTTTTTTTTTTTTTTTTTTCGTATTTTAGGTCCTTTTGTCTTCTTTACTGGTGCACTCCTTGCTTCCACCTTAAAATGACTTTTTCTACTACTCTGATGACAATCTTATTTCTTCTAAGAAAAAACTACATATATATAAAAGAAAATACATCACATAATACTTTGGTTGGAAAGCATGTCAAACTATTAGTAAACTTGGGGATGAGGGAGATAGAGATTATCAATCTCATGTCCCACAGTCCATATGCATTAAGAAAATCCATTTGGGTGGAGGAAGGACTTTACAACTTTATAGGCAGGTCATTTACTCTTTTTGTTAGCAATAAAGTTGCAATCAAGATATAAATTTTCAAGTGACATACCTGACGGATATTAATGAGATGCTCAAATGCATCCTTGATGGTGTTGGAAAAGGCTTCATTCTTAGAAAAGCTTTCATCCCATACTGTGTCAAGAGATGCCTTAAATTCCAAGAGGCAGAATACCATATCTTTATCTTTTTCTTCATCCATGACAATGCTCTGCCCAGTCCTCCGAATATACGAGTTAAGGGCCTGCCTTAATGATTCAAGAGCATTGACCCTTGAAAAAAGCAAATACATCCTTTGAAGGTCCTCAATGCGATTCCCATCCATCAGCATCATGAAACCCTGGAGAAATCCAGAAAACCACAATCTTCTAAAAAAATGCAAATTATAGCATGCATAGAGGAACCAGGAAGTAATAATTGAACGGTTAATCAGAAAGCGATATACAATTCACACCTTATCAAGAATTGCAGATATATGGCGTTCAAGGAGTTGCCTTTCTGCAGTTGCCACTAGTGGTTTCCTTGTAGTAGCATCCAGGTAGAGCAAGCATCTTTCATGTTCTTCATGCAACCTTATCTGCAAGGATAGATTACCCTCAAATATTCCAAAGATAAATCATGGAATATAGTTTCAAATGACAAGCTAGATAAAACCCTTCACACAATCCACAAACACAAAAGAGGAAAAGGACAAGAACTAGAGCAGAAACAACCACTGTTATGGTTGAAAAGAAAGAAAGAAAGCAGAAAAAGAACACACCTCTACATGCTTTAAGTAATCTGGAACATCTGATTGTTGCATGTATTTTACGCCTTCAGCAGCATAAAATTCTGACGTACGTTCAAGGAATGGTTTCTCGAAGCTTTCTGAGTAGATTCCCAAGGCAGTAAACATCTTCAAAAGATGGTTAAGGAGAGTCCTATCAACTGCTTCACCGGACCTGAAAGACCAAACACAGCATGTTGTAGATTAAAGATGAAGAATAAGAAGCTTGGAAATCATATAGATCAACGTTAATCATAGGTAAGAACCATAGAAATTTTGAAAATTTTTGCAATCAAAGCAACACAATGACACTAAACCATTCCATAGCCTGTGAATGGGTTTTCATCATTAATATATAACAAAATTTAATGAATTTGAGAGCCGTGCAGTAGAACCCAAATAGGAATCAATGATGCCAATAAACAGACCTAGAATGGGCAGGGTGAACAGTGTTTTATTTTTATTTTTATTTTTTATGCTAATCCAATCAAACACCCATGCACAAATCATAAATCAAAACAACATCACAAATGATGCAAAAAAATAAAGTAGAAATGCAAACCAGATTGTTTGCATGATAAAGTCAATACAGGAAAAATCAACAACTCCACAATCCACTGTGACGAAGAAAGAATAGAAAGTTCCACAAACACAATGTCCATTTCAAATCACCTGCATACTTAAGACGTACTATGTCCTGACCTTTACCTGAAATCACATCACACCACTACAATCTGTCTTTTCTTCACCCAATTGCCAATAAATCACCTTCACAAACTGTTTGTGAAGTACAATGGATGTAGCTGCCACTTAATTGTTCCTGAACATTATCGAAATTAAACCAAAGTACTACTTTAGAACAAACAAGCTAACGATCTCTCAATCCTCACAAAGCATGTCTATTAAAAAGCACAACAGTACACCAAAGACTCAAAATATTTAAGAGAATGCAACAGATTCTCTCAATAGAGACTTCGTGTGTGTGTGTGTTAAAACCTACTTAGGTCTAAAAACCACTTTTGACACGATTTTGGAATTAAAAAAAGCCAATTTTTGCAAATCCGTGTTAAGCATCGGTGCTGAAGCAACTGGGCAGTCAAGCATCAGTGCTTACCTTCTGAGAATTGGTGATTGGCGCACTAAAATATTAGGTGTTTCATTTTGCTTTTATTGTAATGAAAATCATATTTCAGTATTTTCATTTTTTTTTTGATAAGTCATATTTCAGTATTTTTATATACCTAAATTTATCAAAAACCACCATTTGATCTTTGTTGGTCTATTCTGAACCCTTGAATTAGTAAGCACATCACTCCTCCTTCCCCTCTTGATCTCCCCCTGTTCTCTATCTAGAACATTCAGCTGACTGATTGTGGTTCCAGTAAAGGTTCATGATTGTGAAGTTTTGTGGGGGTTGGAATAAGGTGTGTCGGGGCTGTGATACGCTTTGTGGACGAGAAAAGAACTCAATGAATGCTAAAATCACCGGCAACGAGAAGATAATCAACAAGGTGCAATATTTTCCGGCAACAGAAAATCATTAATGGCAGCAGTTGATGGTCACCTGCACCAGAGAGCATATTGAAGTGACACTTGGAGCTGTCTCCCTTTGTCTTTTTAGAATTTCTGATACTCATCACACCAATCAGTATATCTGGAAGTCCTTTTCTATGTTTTGGTGTACAATATGTTCCTTTTAAAACATTTTAACAATTCTATCAGCCAACCAAACACTGGAAAATGAAAAAGTACAAATATATATATATATATATGACCACGTGCAGTCCCAGACTATAGCCAGGTTGACATGACCTTATCCTATACTGTGTGTTCCAAGTTGACCAAGTCTGCATCTTCTGATAGTCAAACTGCAAACACTATCCAATCTTCACCGTTTTCAAATTTCACTCGAGTAAACCCAAAGATAATGCGACTCAACCTAGGACTCTAATAAAACAAACAGTTGACTCAAAATTACAACACTTGATTCAATAATTTGGTCAAGGCCTTGTCACGTTGAGCTACGTTGCACCATTAAATAATGTATGAAATATCGAGAAAATACATATATTAAGGTCTTGAAAAGATGGATATACTATCAGATATATATAGCAACTGACATCAAATCAATTTTTTTTAGCAAAAATGGCAAATACTAATAGCAATCATGGAATCTCATATGAAGCTTTTGGAAGTGTCAATAATAATAAAGATATTGATGCATGACTTAAGAGTTACATTGCAATAAAAAATATAGTGGCAGCCACAAAAAATCACCCAGGCTCACACCACTAAAACTTCCTCACAAGTTCTCCAGTGAATAGACCTCACAATAATGTCAATTTTTTCAATAAGAAGATAGTCAAACCACCACATGCTCCAGTCTAACAAGCTACTTGTTATAACCAAGGCATCTACATTTGTTGCCATGTACAATTCCATATGCAAGCGCTGGTAGTTAGCCAAAGAGGAGTCATACCACAACAAGATATTATCCTAAACTATACTGATCGGCCAGTTGCAATCACTACTTAAACCCGTTTTTGAGGAAGACACTGTGTTTTGCAATGGCTTTCCAAATATCACAACCACCATAGGTGACAATAAAATGGTGTATCCCGCCCATTTTAGTTGATCCCATATTTGGCAACAATAAATTCCCTCCAAAACCGCCCTATTGCATTGTCAACCCTCCAAAGACAATTGCCCTATCAATCCACATTTACATATTTGGTTGGCAGCAAATTTGATGCCAAGCAGGATGGGATATCCTGCCCGACAAGGATTCTTGAACTTGAGGTCAAATAAAACCATGTAAATTTGATTGATATCCAGCCAAAATATCTATTGGAGAAAAGTTAAGAAGAGATGCATGGTGCATGTTCATTATGATAAACTGTTACACATTACACATTCAACGGGTAAGGCTTTTTAGAGAAACAAAAGCACCAAGTGAGGCTATGAGGCATGCTAATGGAGTAATAGGCAACGAGAATGAGAGAACAAGGGAGCAGAAAACACACAGCACCAAGGACCCTAAGATAATGTATAATTGACACGACGTACAACTCCTAATTCCTGACCTTCATCTAACTTGAAATCCTTTCAAAAGAATAGTCCAAAAACCTTAATCAACATAATTATAGGCTTTTTAATGGTTGTAGGGGTTCATTTTCGTAACGAAATAAAATAAATATAAATGGTGATATCATACACAAATCTGAGTGATCCAGACAACATAATAGAATCCGAGGTGGACTGAGAAAGGTGGAAGCACAAGCAAACTCGAGAGAGAGGGTGAAGATGGCAGTGTATATTAGTATATCAGTGACTCCCTTGATGAACATGTATGGAGAAAGCATGAGAGGTTATTTCCTCATCCCTTTGTTTTGCTCTACCTCTGCTTGGTCTTAGAGCACATCCTCATATAGGCCAAGTGAGAGGTTGGGTGATGTCATATGACATCATATGTGGGGCCCATTAACATTATAAAATAATGTTAATTAAGATGGGTCTAAAATGTATGGGAGTCAAAACGGTATCTCTCTCTACGAGTCAAGTCGAGTGTCGACTCGACGAGTCCTGAATTTCATCCACCAAACCAAGAACCTCCTCGGATCCCAAGTAATCCCTAGTCCTGCTCCCAACTCAGGTCTTCAAGTCTTCGATCCTCTGCTCGAAGTATACTGACATGGTAAGTGTCACGTAACTTAGACCGTTTGACTTGTGGGCCATCATTTCTGATGTGGCGTCGCTTGTTGACCATTTGACCAAGCTTTGTGGGCCATTGTTGATGATGTGGCATAGTCCGTTGACCGTTTGACCAAGAAATGTAGGCCATCTGAAATGAGATATATTCAACACCTACAATGGTTCCATCTAGACCACCAGCCCATACACATGATTGGAGCTGTAGTCCCCAACATATTTATAGGCAACAACAGCGGTGTCAGTATCTGCTTACAGCTCAAAGAAAAAAGAAAAACCCTGCAAATGAGAAACACATCAGCCAAAAAAAGTACCTAAGAAATATAATTTTAAGAGGTTGCTAATAAATCAGGCCAGAAACTATCAACACTTAAAAATCCCCAAAAATAATATGTTAAATGTCCTAAAGGGTCAATTAGAAAGCATTAAAACAAAAGTTTTGCATCACTAATCATATAAAACCTGCCTAGTATCAAAAGCATTGCAATGCCATTCACGATTACTAGGCGCATTACTCTGAAATGGGGTTCCACTGCTCACCACAAATCTAGATGATTCATCATCACTATTGACAATTTGTTATTTTTGTCATTGAAACCATTGACCTTGCATCAATAATGGGAACCTAGTGCTGAACAGAATAAGTCAAAGTTCCATCACAAAGAGATAAATTTAAGAACTAATACTTAATATTGGAAATTCATGCAAGATTCAACAAGTTATCTATATCTTGAATATGATCAAAGTACTTGAGTAAAATAATCATCACATAGATATGCATTATATACCATTTTTTTCCCCGAAAAACCTTGAATGACATGCAACGCCTTCACCACACCCAAAAAGGGACAAATGGCATCTAAGAAAAACTGCCTTAAGCTTTCCACCCCCAAACTATTAAGGGTGCCATTATACAAGTTTTTTTTTTTATAACACGTGGTCATTTATAATTTAACCTGATAAGATTAATATTTTATTAGAATGAAAAAGGAGAATATATAGAGAGGGATGGCATATACTACCAAAAACAAAATATAATAAATATAGGACAGAAGAATATAAGAATACCATAAACTAGTTCAGCACCATCACTACTCAAGGAAGGTAAAGATAACTTCTGAATGATTAAAGAATGTTTGCCCTGCTCTTGTCCAAACTTTCTGTCTTGCATTAGTGGAGGTATGAATTTATGTAATAGCCACCTAAAGGGAAGTAAACGAATCCAAAATCTCCCCTGACAATTGGAAGAATCAAGGGTTCACATTTCACCCACCTATGATACTATTATATTAGAAATACCTTCAATTAATCAATCATGAAACGCAACAATAATTGCCTCCTTGAGGCCTTCCAAGAGAGCCTAGAACTATGCTTTAACTTTATTTTTTCTTTTTTTGCAAGTAAAAATCTATGCTTTAATGGCATAATATGGTTCTTCCCCAAGAGGGATACTTCCATGTATAAGCAAGTTTATGAGAAGTCACTGCAACCAATCTGACATTACAGTAGTCAATGACCACTTATTAAATTCTTCTGTAAAGGAGACCAAGGAGAAAACAATAATGACTCTACTGCAAAGATCACCTTCAGACCATTAGCCAAAATTGGGTGCTAGGTAAGTTGAATTGGGCACAAACACAGCCCTTTTGATATTATTTGCACAAAGAGACTGCCCTTGAACTCCAACACGTGTTTCTCAAGTTTGACAACCTCAGCTTCTCACACTACACCAAACAATGGTCCCTATCAACCCAAATAACCCATATCAAACATCCTAGAATTCCCCCATATCCAGATAACCCCATATCACAGACACACAAAAGCAACAGCAAAGAACTTTAACATCATTTTCCCTACCAAAATCTCCATAGTTAATTTCCAATAAAGAGTAAATCTCCCATAGGGCAACCAGACTAAAACCCACTAAGGCAAAAAGTGTCTGCCCAGAACAGATAAGGTATGGACCAATGCATGAAGAGAAGCCTAGGGGTTTCAATAACTTTGCAAAGGCAAATATGTCTAGGCTAAGGGCTTTCAACAAAAGTATTTTATTGCATCAACCTAGCACTACCTTGTGACATTTCTGTTTTTCTTTTTCCCCGATAAGTACCAATTATGATATTTCCAGAATGAAAATCCTGAAAAGAAATGTAGAACTGCACCAAAAGTACCCATCTAGCCAACATGAATGTGCAGAAACCTTGTTACTAGAGATAGATTTTTTATTATTTTATTTTTACTAGTTACTGACTGCAACTACAAGGCACTCCATTCAAACGTAAGTTTATGCAACCATGAGTGTTATTTGAAGCCTTCAAGATTGCCATGTTAAGATCTGCCTAAAATGAACACCTTCAGCATATGATGAGATAGAGCAGGGCATATTTGTGAAATATAGATCAGCTTTTCTGTCTATAGGTACTCAGGAGAGTAGCCTATTTTTGGATAGTATAAATTCCAGGTTAAAATTAGAAATACTAAAAAACAAAGGGAAAGACCAAAAAAAATTGTTTAGTTGTGCAATCAATTCCTACATAAATCTAATCAATCAGAAATTTGTAATGAATTGAAAATTGAAACTTTTATAGCTTCAAATTTACCGTTCACTCTCGATCATTTTAAGAAGGCCAAATACAGTTTTATGCTCAACTTCTGAAGCTAGGGAAAGATGTTTGCGGAAAAGCTGCAAGCCCATCTCCCACAGTGAACGCACATTCGGGCTTTGTTTCACATATGTTCTATCAAGATACAAGGCTATACCACGGATCATCAACATCTGGTCACAAAAATCCTGCCAGCACTTCTCAACTAGTGATAAGAAAACCACTAGATCTTCGCTTTGGCCAACCAAAGATTGCAGTGCAGCGGATATGTGTGCTTCACACTCCTTTTCAATCCGCTGATAGAGACTTCCCCCCATCTTGTGCAGGCAAAGGTCATTGACAGCCTAAAGACAATATAGTTGGCTAAGTCACCTGAAAAAGACCTATTGTATCCCAAAAGGAAAAATAATTCAGTAGAACCAACCTGATAGAGCTTCTCCAAGTCACACGGATCTGGCTGCTTCAAGAATATGGCAGTAATAGCTGACTTCAGTGTTGCCCATGTATTTTCTTCAAAATTTATGGGCAATGTCGGTTTGGCTACAAAAAGACAAAAAGAAAAGAGGGAACATATTAGGCACCTTTCTCAATAAATTCTCTAAGGAAATTAAAAAAAAAAACATTTAACCTCCATCAGACATAAAATATTTATACAGAAGGTTACTCCGCAATTTATGAATAAACATCAGGCATAAAAAGTTGTGCTTCCCAAGTGCTATGGAAAAGACATGACAAGCTCTCCAAAACTCCAACTTCACTTGGGCGATATATGAGAGGAATAGAGAAAAACTCGTGATTGGTCCCCGCGATTGATTGGGAGAAATGAGGAGGTAGAAGGGATGAAAAGCTTATCCATGGGAGCAACATCTTGGAATTTTGTGTACTACTTTCTATGTTACATGGACTCAATGACGTGAGTTTAGAACGTGTGTATTTCTCGGGGTCGAATTTATCCATCCTCCATTCTAAGGAATGAGGACAAAGCCTGTCGTCACAGCAGCCCATCGCTCTTCTATGCACCCTGGGGCACAATGATGTGTTTATGAGCATAGCTTCGTAGAGATTGATGTCCCCGTTTGATGTATCACATTTATAAATTAAGAGAGAAAATCAGCAGTACTTAAGGGTATCAAAACAGTAGGAGATCCTTTCAATCAAAATATATATATATAGGAGTCGAGAAAACTTAACCTTTAGTTATCAGAATTAGGAAGTTTATTTTCCAACCATTGAGACTTTAGAGCGAGTGAAATAATTTTCTATCTCAACAATGTTCTTCAGAGTGGAGAACACAATGCACGCTACTGGATAAATAATAGGAAGCTAGAATTCGGCATTGATTGAAGTTGGGTGATGAACCAAATTCCAAGGTCGAGTTATTTAAAAGTGGACTTCAGGATTTTGTAAGAGTGCAACACTCAAAAATCAAACGTGAGAGGCCTTTAAGTTAACATAGAGACAAATATAAAAGAATATAAAGTACTTGCTAAATCTTTTTCCTTTGGCAACAGTGTATAAGAAATTACAAATTTGCTTTCACTAGGGCTTCTAAAAATACAGCAATAGGACCAACCAACATGCTTAATTTGCGTGATTTGGGTGTGTGAATAAATCAAAGGCCATCTTCACTTTCTAAGTGCCTTATATATATGGCAAAGTTCTTGTCAAACTCAAAGACCAGCTCTACATTTGAACCCAATAAGGGGAAAACAATATAATCAAATCCAAACAAGTTTGTTATGAATGAGTCATGCAATTCATGCACCATACTATACAAAATTCTACCTTGAATGTCACTCATGACTAATGAGTCAATAGTGTCCAAAAAAGTGTAATAGTCATCAGACAGCCTCCCACAAACTCTGCGATCCCAAATAAACCAATAGGACAGTGTGACTAAAAGCCCTAGAAATTGAATTCACCTATATCAAAAATCAAATCAATTCTAAGCTCTACCCTAAAATTAATTAAAGGCGTGTTTATTCAGTCATCACTTGTTCAATTAACCACTCAATTTCAGCTAAAACCCACAAATGGAACACCTAACACCGTCAAAGGTTCATCACCCCATATTGTCCAGATCATACAAACTCCATCTCTAATCCAAGAACACTAACACGAACAATCGTCAATGAGACATTCGTTTAAACAACCAATGATTATCAAAATCGAACCTAAAATCGTCGACAGAGAACTGAGAAAAATCGACAAAATGGTGAGATCGACGAACCTTTGACAAGCTTGATGACGAGCTTCTTCGCCGGTTGCGGCGGCGTGGCCTTCTTACGGGACAAATTGGCGGTGACGCCGCCGGCTGGAGCTCGGGCGAGGGCGGAAGCATCAACGGCGTCGTTGGGGTTAGGATCTTCGATCATGGAGGAAGGGTCCTCGAGGTCCATATCGGTGTCATAGTGGATGTGTTGGGGTTGGTGTCTGATGCCGTTCTTGTCGAGAGAACAGACGGCCTGAGACTTGGCCTTTTTCATTGCCGGAAAATGAGCTCCGCTGCCGGAAGTGCTGGTGCTGGTGCTGGTGGTGTTTGAATAGGCCGAGCGCTTGTTGTTGGGCTGAGACATAGAAAGCAATCAACAGCTCATTGTAAGAGACCGCACATAAAAATGAAGAACAAAAGCTCTAGATGATGAGAGAGAGAGTTTGCTATTTCGTTTTATTTTTCATATATATATTTGTATTTCTGTATGTTTATTTAATAATAATTAATTCTACACTTGGGCTTGTAGGTGTTTGGATTTGGATCCGATCCAGTGAACTTCTCTGGATATAGGTGGGCCCAACTTTTTGGAGGTTTAACGCTGACGTGTCAAGATCCAGCTTGCTCTTGGGCGAGAAGGTTCAGATCATGATTTGGGTTTTTAATTTTTTTTTAATTCCTAAAGTGTATAAAGAGGGTTCGAGTATTTAAAAGCCTAAAATAAGTGTATAAATTTCTTGTTAGTAACAAAAACAAAAAAATAAAATAAAATTTTGAGATAGCCGGTAATTTGATTAGGGTTTGGGCTTCGGCCGAAGGACCTAAGATTCAGTGTGTGAGTGCTTGGTTCTAAGAAATAGGATGTCAACTAAGTGGGTTAGGAGGTGACACTTGTTCCGTCTTGTTTAACAAATTTTTTATTTTTAAAAATCCAATAGAAATGATATGAATTTGTAAAAGGATAAGGTGTGGTTGTGTTACTGAAGTGGTAAAAGGGCCAGGTCAAAAGTGTTCTTCACTTTGCTCATTCCCAATTAACTACTAACCATTGTAAGAATTAAAAAATAAAAATAAATAAATTTGATAAAAAGGAAGATTTTACGGTTTGGTGTTTTAGTTTATAAAAATTATTATAGTATAAAAAAAATATTTTGATAAAAGGGTAAGGTATTAGAGCCTGGTGTTTTAATTTATGAAAAATATTATAGTTTTAGTATTATACGGGTATTAAAGTGATTATGCAGGAAGCCTAATCTCGTGGCGAATTTTTTTCTCTTCACTCTGTCCCGTTCCGTGACGTGAAAGCTAATATAGGCTAGGTTCCCTCTTAAATTGGTATATTTGTATATGTTAAAATTACAAATTCTGGATTCACAATTATTCAATTAGGCAGAGATAACAATCAACTACTCGGGTGGATGTGAGATGGGATACCCATATTTTTCATTTTTTTTCTTTTTTATTAGTGAAAACCATAATCATAACCAAATATTGAAAAGTTATATGCCTAAATTTCTTAATTATGTAGCTGGAAATATAAAAGATCATGAAATTGGGCAAATAAAAATAAATAAATTAGGACTGATATAATATGATTCATATCTATTATCAACTGATGGGCACTGTTTTGGAACAGGAAGTGTTCAAACCCTCTCAATTAGTATAAGGGTTAAATGTATAAAACTCATGTAGTATAAGTTTTATGTACAATGCACTCCTATGTTTCAACTCGAGCACCGTCAGTACCTAATTTTAAAAAAAGTGTATTTCAGTCCCTGTTTTTTTTAAAAATGTTCAAATAACTCCCTTTTGGCAAAAAGTAAATATAAAAACCCGATTTTACCATTTTCCTTCCTATTTGGCCTCTCTCACATAATGTGCATGACTCCTATAGTAATTGGATAAAATGATCATTTTACATGACCTATGTTTTTCTTTAGGGTTAAGTACAAAAAACTTCCTTGTTATATAAAAAATGCAATAAAAAAACACTCTCACTAAAAAATAAGTGCATATAAATCCTTATATTATCAACATTTTGAACAAATTACTCCTTAATCATCAATTTTGACCATTTTTTTTTTTAATAAAAAAAACCTCAAAATGCCCATGCTGATGTTGGGGGGAAAAAAATATCTCTTTACTTAATCTAAACCGTTTCTCTCAACTCTCTTTATCAAGTTTAAATCAATCAAGTTTAGAGCCATCAAGCATTCCGGCCTTCAGCCCATAGCTTCCTGGTGTGTTTTTATTTCAGTGTATTTCCTTTTGTAAAATATTGTGTGAGAGTGTATCCATGTATATATTTCTTATAAAATAAATCATCCAGTTTACTCTTATTCATAAATTTTTTTTCCTTATTTAGTATTTTCAGTGCTTTCGGGCAAAAGACTTCGATCGACAAAAAGATCATATATATAGATTTTATTTAGCTAGACAGTGTAGATCCTAAAATTTTCTTAAATCCAACTAGTATAAGCAGTCTTAGTTTTAATTTAGCAATTTCTTCTGTGAATTAACTCGAACTGTTGGCTTGTTAGCCTGTTCTTGTCGGTGTTCAGGCATTTTTACATGGCGTTATTAGGTTCGACAGTCATTTCTGTGATTTAATTGTTAATTTTATCTCTATGTTATTGCATGCTTTTATCCGGTTCGATTGAATTTAATTTTGGTATTAGAGCCTATATTGTTTCGTTAAATTTAATTTTTATATCTAAAATCTTTTGTCTAAAGAAGTCTATAAGTCCATATTAATATATTGTGAAATTTTAATTTATTGTGAAAAATTAAAAAGTTAGAAAATATTAAATAGTTTGTTCAAGGATCTTTCCGTATATTTATTTAATGTTTTAAGATTTTTATGTTATAATAACATATTGTTTAGGGTCATTATAATAATATAGATTGTTGTGTGGTCCAAAATAGAAAATAAGTTCATTTTATAAAAATAAGTTGTGTGGTTCTTCCATGTTTGTATAATAGTTTGTTTGGTCCCCCCATTTTATTATTGTTTCAAGACTTTAACCTCATTATATTGTAGTATTTAGACCTTAAGTCCATGTATTGGTAAAAATCTCTTATTTTTTTTTCTCTATCTTACATTGTTTCTCTCTCTCTCTCTCTCTCTCTCTCCCTCTCCCTCTCCCTCTCCCTCTTTTTCCCTCTCATCTCGGTTTCTCTCTCTATTGGACCGGTTTTTTTATTATTATTTTTTTTGTTTCTACCTATGGATTGGGCTTACTTTTATTGACATATGCTTAAATATTAAAAAAAAAAAAAAAAAACTGAATATTTATCTGTCTAATTATTAAATATAAGAAAATGGATATTTACCAACTAATTAAAACTCCTACGTCAAAGCTTCTTTTATATATGTATATGAGGAGGCCCAGGACGACATGGGCCGGATCCGACTTGCAAGCACTACATTCGGTCCGTACAGTTGGGTCGGCCCATATAAAGACACTGCCATATGGGCCGAACGCGAGTAAGCCCATCAAAGGTGACCAGGACTTATGGAGGAATAGGCCCAGATCCAGCAATCAGTCAATATTTGTAAATATCTTGTAAATATCTATAAATAAGGGAGGAATGAAAGAGATAGGGAGATCTTTTTGGTTGAAGTGTAAGAATTCTAGAGAGAGAAAGAGGGAACGAATTTCTTACATCTTCAATTGGCGCCGTCTGTGGGAATCGCATGGAAGTTTGGTTGATCAATGAGGAATATCGAGTGGATTCAAACCAATTCGGTTGATCGAGACTCGATCTTTGGGATTTGGATCCAGTCTGAGCGATTGTGACCTACTCTGGAGGAATTACAATTCTTGAAGCTTTGGCAGGAGTGGCTTCAGATCTACGCAACAACGAGTTGTTCGATTGTGGCAGGATCTGACGGATTTAGAGTTCAGGCAATTCAGATCTCGTAAACAGTGAGCATAATTCGAAGAATTCGAAGCCAGATCTAAAAAATTCCCACTCACGAAGCTCGGATCTACTCGCGAACTTGAGATTAATGCCTTTACTCCGTTCAGGAATAATGATAGGTGAAAGCTCCAATCCGATGGAGGCTGTCCAGCAAACAAAGCTTGAGGAGTTGATGAACTTGATTGAAGCTTTCAAAAAAGAGAATGCAGAATTGAAAGCTGGAATGCAACATCGGCAAATACCTGCGGTTTCGCATCCACTTCCGGTCGGTGAAGGAGGTGTTCAATCTAATATCGCGCGTCAAGGCGAACAGGACGAGAACAATCAGTCAGCTCACCACCGTGATGAAAGGATGATGGACAATTTGCCGCCAAATGTTCGTCGAGTTGAAGATCACGAAGGATCGACTCACGTTGATCCGCATCAGGAAAGGTTCGACCGAGAGGAAGTGATAGAGGTTGATCGCCGTCGAGTAGCGTCGCCTTGGCAAAGAGAGTTCATAGAGGAACGGTCGTTCGATCCGTCTTACCGGCCCTCCATGGTTACTATCACTCATCGCGGTTCGGAGGGCAGAACCGTAACTCACAGAGCTACCGCTGGACTCCAGAGAGAGAATGAAGCTCTCCGATCCGCAGCTCGGACGGTGGATTCACCATTCACCGACGAGATCTTGAATGCCCCGCATCCAAGGAAGTTTGCTATGCCAGTCTTTATTCTGTTCGACGAAACGACCGATCCGATCGATCATGTGTATCATATCCAGTTGAAAATGGCCCTGAATACGGAAAACGACTCTTTAATGTGCAAATGTTTCCCTACAAGCCTAGCCGGACCGGCGCTCAGCTGGTTCAAAAACTTGCCTAGGAGCTCCATTGGTAGCTTCAGAAACCTGTGCGATCGATTCATAAGCCAGTACTATGGGAACAAGCGCCCGCCGAAAGACATCTCGAGCCTATTCACGATGAGGCAGCACAAGGATGAACGTCTCCAGGCTTTTCTTACCAGGTTTAATCTCACTAAGAGTATGGTGATCGAATGCCACCCTTCTATAGCAGTTCAAGCCTTCAAGTTAGCCATGACACGTGGAACTCCGTTTCACACCAGTCTGGTAGTGAACACGCCAACTACTATGGATGAACTCAATGAAAGAGCCGATGGCTTTGTGCGCCTAGAAGAAGAGGAGGCAGCTAATGCTCGGACAGCGTCGCTCGTGTCGACCGAGGAAAAGTCCAAGGCAAAGATTAGGCAGAAGCAGGCTCAGCTGCAACGTCAGACCTCTTGGAAGGCAGAAAAAAAGTCCAGGGAGGAAGAGCTGATTACTCCGCTGAAGGTCACTCTGGCGAGGCTGTATCAGGAGAACAAAGATAAGTTTCATTCACCACTGCCAATTAGGCAACCCCTCGAACAGAGGGATCAAACTAAACATTGTGCTTTCCATTCTGACTTCGGTCATCAGACTAACGAATGCAGGAACCTGAGGAGGCAAGTGGAGATGTTGATAGCTAGAGGGGAGTTCGCGAGTTATGTTC